ATTTCTCTCCGTATAATGGTTCAAGGTCCAGAAGCTTTAAACGACACCAGACGATGAATAAGGGTCTTATCAAGCGAAACGATCGCTCATTTAAAAAAATAAATAAAAAAGTTTACGTTTTATAAGCTCAAATGCTCGCTTTGCTCTGTTCTGTGATGTGACTCTCCTGTTTAAACTCGTTCATTAAAATGAACGAATCTTTTTTCGAGTCATGACTCGAAGGGTCCTAGATAAGACCCTTATTCATCGTCTGGTGTCGTTTAAAGCCTTTTGAAGCTGCACTGAAACTCTCATTTGGACCTTGAACCGTTTGGTTCCCAATGAAGTCCATTATATGGAGAAAATCCTGGAATATTTTCATCAAAAACCTTAATTTCTTTTCAACTGAAGAAAGAAAGACGTGGACATCTTGGATGACATGGGGGTGAGTAAATTATCAGCAAAAGTTTTTATTTATTTATTTATTTTTTTAAAGTGAACTATTCCTTTAAGATTGCACCATTTTTTTTTAAAAATTCTCAACAACAAACATCTGGAAGCGCCACAGAACTCGTTCCCTATAATCCCGAGCTTTTGAGGCGGCAGTGAAACGGTCTTCAAATGACTGGGTGTTGCAGGTTGATTACGACTTGTGATGGCTTTGCGCTTCCTGTCATTTTCGTCCTGCTATCAAAGTGTCACGGGACACCACTGAGGACTGAGCAAAGGCTGAACTAAATATAGAAGGACAAAAAGGTTACAGTGTAACCGTTCACGGCTGAAATCTAACTAGCTTTAATGCGATAGATCTTTTACTGTATGTTCAGAGTCACTCAATCTTGTTTGTCTATATCTGACCGGGTCACATGACCGTCACTGGATGAATAAAGCGAACGTCTCATGCTCTCTCTCTCCTTTATCTCTACTGAGCGGATGATTCACAAACTGCACTTCATTCATGCTGAAACGGAAACCAAGCTGTTGTCAGACTTCCCTGAGCTGTGTGACTCACATGTGGCTGAATGAGAGAGCCATCGGGATACATCACACACAGTCATCTGCTTATCTGCAACCGAAATCAATGGTCAAATATATGCTCTGGCCTTTGGAGAAAAAGACTTGCGTGAGGGTCGTTTATGTGCAGAACAGTAGTGGTCACCTGAAAGTAATGTGAGCTTGTTATGGGTTGGCTCACAGCCCCTGTCACCACCCCTCATCTGAAGAGGTCCTGATTATAAATAGTATGTTTCTGTTTTCCTGGACAAGCTTCTTGAAGCCTCTAGTGATTCTAGATTTAATCCCTTCACTTCAGTCAAACACTTTCAATGGGAGTCGCAAAAAAACAGAATTATTCAACATGCTATGCATCTGCTAAATTAATTGATATTTAGCAGATTAAAAAAAATATGAATCTGTACCATTTCATAACCGTCCATCTGTAATTTGCCAGAAAAATTCACCGCTGACAATGTTCATCGAGCTGAAAGCACTCAAATTAAACAAATTTAAGTTGCAACTCAACAAAAATTAACAAAATCATCTCTTCCTGGGAAATTGCCGCAAAATATCTGTAATAAAAATGGAAGTTGCGGCAACTGTGGCTTTTTTCATACATCATAAATAACTTGCATCTCATAATGTCAAATCATTATGACGACAGATTTTGGTTCAGGCGTTTCAGAATGATTAAACCAACATTTGAGAATCGATACGATTGGTCAGCTGGTTAGCTCAGTTATCCAATCACATCCACTGTTGAGGCAAAAATCACATCAAGGGATTTGTTTGGTAAATGCGTTTCCAAAAAGATGCACCTGAACACACCAAAAGGACTAAAAGCGACTGTCAAATAGCATGTGCGTTCAGCTCCGGCGTGTAAGTAAATATCTGTTTATATGTGCAGGTGTCAATAGTTTATCTTCGTCATTCAAAAAGGGAAAACGAAACCAGAACATGCTCGCTTCGTCACTTTTATTCTCCTAAGCTAAACGGACAATAAGTTCTCTCACCAACGGTGTAACGCAGATTCAACGTGACGAATCGGCCCCAAAAAACCTGAGGCTGTCTGACTACACACAGAAAAACCAAGCCGACCGACGCTCAAAAAAGTGTGTCCCGGCCAAAAGAAAAAATGCTCAAAAATAGGTTTCAGATTCACCTGGCCTGAATCAGATTCGTTCTTGAAGTGGAACAAACGTCAGTGTCTCAAGGGTCCCATTTTAAAGGGACAGTTCACTTTGAAATACATTTTTGGCACGTTTTAGCTTACCTCAAGGGCATCCAAGATGTAGGTGTCTTTGTTTCCGCAGTAGTTTCAAATTTGATATTTTTAGGTCAAACCGTTCTTGTCTGTCAGTCATATAATGGAGGTCTATGGTCACCACCTCAAATAGCATGCACAGAGAAGTCTAAATTAAACATGATTTAATGACTCATAAATGTAAGCACACATTGATGGCCCAAGGCACGAAACGAGCGGTTTGTGTGAGAAAATTTGGACTTCTCTGTGCATGCTCTTTGAGGTGGTGACCATAGACCTCCATTAAATGACTGATAGACCTAAAAATATCAAAATTGAAACTACTGTGGAAACAAAGACACCTACATCTTGGATGCCCTTGAGGTAAGCTAAAACATACCAAAAATGTATTTCAAAGTGAACTATCCCTTTAAGTCGGACTATTTTTAATCTGACACACTGTCTTAGAAACAACACTCACGACGCTCAAGTGATATGCTCACAAAAAGTTACTTGTGCATAACTTTTCCTGTGGGAAAGTTATGCACAAACAAAGCTGGAGTCAACAACAATAAGACAACAAATAAAATGAGCCTGCATTTCTCTAAAACCCCAAACAAAGAGAAGTTAAGAAGGAGGGGGCTGTACAGACAAGAAGAGACATTCATGTGTGTATTTGAGGAGTGCCATCAGGGTGAAGATTGTACACAGTCCACGAGCAGTGTGAATACGTCTCAATCTTTACTAAAAAAACATGTTTTAATTTTGCATTGAGGAGGGAGAACTACCAGACTAAATTTGAAGAATCAGTCGTCCTCATTGGTGGATGCATTAACAGTTGCAACATTTCCAAAACATTAGCCTTGGTCTTGTGAGCCGTCTACACAAATGGCGTTTCCCCCTTCCTGTCCCTCGACCCCCTTTTGCACAATTCCTGGAGATCTGGTCCAAATGAAGCAGATGTTCTCCAGATGTTCCTCTTCCAAACATCTGGTTTTAAAAGCTCTCGGTTTTATCATAGTAAATTGGAGACTAATCATGTTTGTCTAGAAGCTATTGGTCAGACGGTCACAGTTGCAGACATCCCAGAAACTTTGTATTCAAACATTCAGTCCTAATATAGCAGCTATTAAATGAATACGAATTTGAATAGGACATATCAAAAAGACACAATGTACTCCTTAAATCTGTTCCTGTGACTTCTGCGGCGAGGCAGATGAGTTTACCAGGCCGGCCCGTCCTCCAGTCGTTCTACGCTGCTACACTGGGCCTTTGTTCCCCTCTGAAACCCAATCCGCAGAAGCTCTAAGTACCCACACACACACACCGAGAAGGAAACCTTGGCACACAAGCTAACACAATGTAGTAAAAACTCTAAACCAGCTGGAAAAAAAAGATTCCTTATTGGAGTTTCTGATCAAAAATGAGCTTTAATCTGCATATGACTAACATTGAATGAATTTTTGTCCACTAAAATACATGTTACAAGTCTTCCATTTCTAAAATGACTGGTAGCACTGCAAACTCAAAGGGTTAGTTCAACCAAAAATATATCAACATTGATCAATAGCTACGTTTAGACATCTTTTGTTTCAATCGGATACGATGATGAATCCGAATGTAGTGTTAGACATGAACGCTAAATAAAGTGATCAGGTTGATGTGCACATTTATACGTTTATATTAGGGCTGTGATTAATCGCATACAAAATAAAAGTTTGTGTTTACATAATATATGTTGGGTGCACCGTGTATGATTATTATATATATATATATATATATATATTGGGGCTGTGCAAAAATTACTTGCGATTAATCGCATCCAAAATAAAAGTCTGTGTTTACATAATATATTTGTGTGTGCTGTATATAATTATTTTGTATATATAAAAACACACATGCATGTATACATTTAAGAAAATGTGTTATTCTTATATAAAATATTTATATTTATATAATATAGATTATGTATTTATAAATATATACAGAATTTAAGCGCAAATAATTCTTAAATATATACATGCATGCATAGGTATTTATATATACAAAATAATTATATACAGCACACAAATATATTATGTAAACACAGACTTTTATTTTGGATGCGATTAATCGCAATTAACTTTTGCACAGCCCTAATATATATATATATATATATATATATATATATATATATAAATACATACTCATGCTTGCATATATTTAAAAATACTTTCATGTATATAGATTTATAAATCATTTACATAAATATTTTATATATAAATACTTTTTTTTCTTAGATATACATGCATGTGTGTGTATTTACTAAATAATTATACACAGTGACAGTACACCCACATATATTATGTAAACAAACAAACACAAACTTTTATTTTGGATGCGATTAATCGCAATTAATCGTTTGACAGCCTTAGTTTATATTTGATATGCAAACTACACAAATATAGTTTCCCACTGTTTGCGCAAACTAAACATTCTCTAACATTGCTATAAAAACTGTGTCAAGAAAAAATATGTCAAGTCAAGAGTGGTTGAGCTTCCATTTTCCGTATTTGATGTGGTCTATGCATGTTTGATCAATGTTTAAATGTGAATAAAAACCTAAATTGAACCCTTTCATCATATACAGCGATCGTGTCTCTTTAGAAGGCTTGGATTGAACCACTCAATTCATACGGATTTTCATTATACTTTCTCTGTAACCCCAATCTAAAGGACAACAATGCCTTACCAATTCAAAAGACAACCAAACAATGTTGCCACATCAAGCATGACAACTTACTTTAAGAAGTATCTCTGTCCCGAAGGGGTCTTGGCCATCTCCCACCCTGGGGGCAGCGGCACATCATCGGGTATCTCGTACGAGGACTGGCGGAGGTGCTGAGGTGGGGCAGGACCCATGCTGCTCAGTGTGCCTGGGGAAACAGCACCCAGCTGCAGGGAGGCCGGCGAGGAGTGTGCCCTGACGTGCTGGGGCGTGAGGGTGCCAGCAGTACCTGCATCTGTGCTGGCCTGTAGATGGACAGAGGATTAGGATTACATTGGAAGCAAAAAGGCTACAAACAATAAGTCTCTTAAAAAGCAAAGAGGTTTATGTCCAAACCTAAGTATTCAAAAAAACAATTTTGAAGTCACACACAACACCAAGAACACATACGTGTACACCCACACAATTAACTTCAATATGCCCCATTGCGAAGGTCATTATACTAAATACATTTTTCCTCTTATACTTCTGTTGAAATTAGGGTAGCAATACAATACAGTACACAAATGCATTCATTAATCTTGATAAATATCACAAGGTAATCGTTAAAGCATTATTCTTTATAGATTTTGTTTTTATGTCACATCTGTTTTCTTGATGCCATAAAAGTCCTCCATGTGTAGAATTTGTTACTTTCTTTGTAACTTTAACTAATTACTCTGCTCAACTAGCCAATAACTTTTTAAAGGAATCATGGGAGGAAAAAATCCTTTTATTTGCTGCAGTGAAATTATTAAAGTTTTTTTTTTCCAGAGTACAAAATATAATGCAAAAACATTAATAACATAGTTTGCATTTTACTTGTTATGTACCTTTCTTTAAAATAAACTTTAAAAATAGTTTAGTCGTAATTAGTCGCTTTTTCCAGTGAATAAAAGGAAAAGTGCGAATGATCTAGGATAATAACAACAAAACTTATTTCCAACTTGATTAAAAATGTCAAACATGGAAACACAAAACAACGGAGTTGTTTGTTTTTAGTTTTTACACAAGGGCACTACTGTCCTCTTCAATCATAGCAGGGTGTTGCTTTCATTAGTTTTATCAGCTTATGTTGCAAAAACAAAAGGTTAAGAAACGGATGTGGCCTACAGTACGCTGCAGACTTTAGGAGGAGCTAAGAAAGAAAAAGGCTGTCCTGGAGAAACTTTTCAGCACAACTCGCCGTGTGCGCATGCGCGAGATGTGATTCCAAGATCGAGAAAACTCGATTAGTTTTGTTGTTAACCCTTTTCGTTGTTGATGTTGTAAAACTTGTTTTAAGCTCCGAACGATTTAAGCATCTTTCCTCGAGGCACAAGTGCTGGAAACTAAAGATTATAATCCGCACATTGTATATAAACTAAACTATGAACTATAAAACGGACCGTTTATATATCGCCATTCTTGTGAAAATGAAAAGTGTTAAACAGGCAAAATGTTTCATCTAAAGACCAAAGAAATAAATGTAAAGGTCAGTGATGGAATTGTAGTGAACAGAACACTGAACTCGGCTGTTTAGAATCACAAGATCACAACTAGAGAAACGAATCACTCTTTTGAGTCGACTCTTTTCAATGAACTAGTCAAACATGTTAGCATACGGTCTGAATCGTTTTGTGATTCAGTCCGAATCATTCCAAAAGTTCACTCATACACTGAATCGTTTAATGTGCGGAGTTTTCCCTTGGTAAAACAGTAACGGAATGATTTATATAACATGAAGCGTAAAACTCATCTACAGAAATCAAACTTGGAAATTGATCTTATCGTTTGACAGTAACTTGTACGCAGCAAGTGAATTACTTTGTAGCCTACTGTTAGTCAACATATTTAAGCCCAATAAGTAGGCTACACAATTATTTGACAAAGTAGCCTAAATGTTCATGTTTCACCGTCACTGTACCATGGTACAGCCAAAATGGTACCAAATTCAAATAGAGCTAGAATATTAGCCTTATTGAGATTTTTAATAAACATATTAAATCAAACTATGTTTCAGGTTAGCAGTATACCGATAACTTTCAATTGAGCTATTATTTCCTGTGGAGCAGTTGGTTGCTTTAGTCGTTCACACACACTGGACAATATTAGGCTACATTTCGAACACATCATCACTTTTATGTTCTGAGTACTGCATGGTATTTATTTTTATTGAAAATATTTTTATTTTTACTTTGGTCATAACTTGCTGTCATAAATTATCCGTAGACATTTTATTTTTCCTGTATTTTTCCCTTAATGCAGTCCTCCCCGTTCTTTGTTCGTGCAATAAAAAAAATCTGAACGCGACAAAATAAATAATCGCGTCGAAGTCGAACGTGAAACTGTGCGCGCGCCAGTTGCAGTGTCAGCCGCAGGAAAAGTTTGTGGAAATACTTTGTGGTTTCTGTGGGGTGGTCTTACTTGTCTGGAGTGGGACTTTGGCTCTGGCGGCTTGAAGAATGAGTCTGGCAGCTTTCTCATCCTCATCGGCACGGAAGGGGGGACGATGGTGTTTTTCGGGTTCATCACAGCGTTAAAAAGAGCCTCCAGATCGGTCTCGGAGTCTCCCCGAACATGGACGATCTGGTGGCCGACTGGAGGGTTGTGCTGACTCGGATCCATGACTCCAAATGAAATAGAACTCTTCTTTCTATCCGACTGAAATAGTGTAAACAGGAAAGTTGACTGCAACCATAAAACGCCGAAAAATTAGATCCAAACAGCCGTTTTCTGTCCGTCCACTTTATTAATTATCCAAGCCTTGCGAAAAAAAGTAGGCAACGCAGTGTTTTTCTTCTTCCCAAAAACACCCCAATATATGTGGAAACAAGCATATCTACTGAACTTTATCCTTTAAACTTTTTATAACGTGTCTGAACTCTTTAAAGGCGCTGTTCGTGTGACTTCACTAAAGGTTTACGGCTCTTCTAACGCAGACATTGGTAGTGACTGTCTTGCGCTTTGAAAATCACAGCCCTCTCACTAACCTAACTAACTTTTTTTTTTCTTCTCTCAACTTCTGAAAGTTTGGGCAGGACATCAAACTTTATGAGTCATGTGACCGCTGACTCAGAGGGGCGGGGCTTAAGCAAGGGCCTTTAAAGCAACACGAGTGTTCTCTCTGTGTGTGTGTGTGTGGGGGGGGGGGGGGGGGGGGATGATTTTAGTCCATACATATTTATATTCCGAGCATATGAAGAATAAAGTACTTATATCTGTTATTGTCTTATATAATATAATTTATTTTATGCTAATAAATATTTTCATATCTTAATGTGCATCACCAAATAGGCTTAAAATAATAATAATAAAACAATCATCATGACACAGCAATTTTTCTTTTCTTTTATAATAAAGTGGTCATACACGACTGTTCTGTGTGTGTTTTCAGGGGGTTTCACACATTTTTTATTCATATTTAAGCTTTGCGATGAAGTGTCACACACCCTAGAATAAATATCTTTATACAAAAATACACCAATGAAGTTCAAGCACTCGCTTCCTTATGAATAAAGAAATAAATTGTCTTTCATTATGTAGAAAGCCGCAGAAAAGTAGTTCCATGCAGTTCCCATAATTGTTATGTAAATGAGCCTTCCCGTTCCATTGAGAAATCATTTTGTCAAGAAGACTGAGCCCAGCTCTTTTCCCATACATTTAACATTGAGTGACTGATTATGAAGCCCTTTTAATCCCCTGCGGGAACTGTAAGAGCATGATGAATGGATTAAAAAAGTTACTTTGTACTTTTCTCTCTTTTTTTTTTTTTAACCAGCCAACCAATATCCAGCCCTAACATGAACAGTCTCTGCAAGCCATAATGAACCACATTATGTGTGTGGTTTTTGTCATTCCCTTGTCATTTAGATTCTGCTCCGAATTATCTCCATATTAATGATCATAAACTGGATGGGTTGAAACACCATCATTTATTATAAGTGTTGTTGTGAAATCACTTGATCGCACCCTTCTGACTGACTCTGTTCAGTAAGGATTTACGAAATTAAAATTGTGAGGAAAAAGTTGTGGTCATGTAAGTGTGTGACAGAAAAAAGGGGTTCAGTTTAGACTTGACTCGATATTAAAGAATGCTTAATGTGGCTAAGAAAAATGTCTTGACTGATTGCATAATACGTTCAAGCTTAAAACGTTATTTAATTTTTTTGTGTGATTAAGTATGTTTACGAGCTGTTCAAGTTATTACATTGAATTAACAAAAAGTTAAAACAAAATCTAATTTAAACTATCATTACCAAAATAATTCAACATTGTAAAAAAAGTTGCTGCCTTAAAATAATAAGTATAATCAAGTCATTTCAACTTATATTACATTAATCTGACTGGAAAAAATGAGTTGAATCTTGTATAATTTATAATTGTAAAATTCATTAATTTATTTTGATGAGTTAAAGCGATGTAAAAAAAATAATTGTCATAACACATTGATCATATTTTTTTTCAGTGAAGATTTTAAAATGTCATGTTTTCTCTAAAATTTGTAAAACACTCTTTGTACTTGACATTAATTAATAGTTTTTTGGTAAATATTTCTAATCTAATTCATTTGTAGCAGACAGATATAAATAAATAGCCTATATATGATATACATTTTTTAAACGTACAGAACAAAACTGTAAAAAAAAAAAGTTTTTAAGTACAATCAACTTGGATGTTTTGATTCTTAAATTACATTAAACTGACTTAAAAATGAGTTGAATCTTGTACTAACTTAAAAACTAAAAAAAAGTTTAAACTTATTTTGATGAGTTAATGCAATGTAAAAATATGTTTTCATAACTTATTGATCATATATTTTTTACACACTGTAAAAAAATAGTGTTAGTTTAACTTAAAAAAAATAAGTAACCTGGTTGCCTTAAAATTTTAAGTTCATTAAAATGGAAAAATTGAGTTTAATTTAATCACCAGAAACTCAAAATATTATGTTATCTGAACTACATAAATTATCTAAGTTGATTTGACAAAAAAAAAAAAAAAAAGTTGTGATTACAAATCATGAAAATATTTTTTTTTTATTTTTTTACAGTGACGATTCAACAAAATTCTCTCCAGTCTCCCCTTGTGTTTCAGTGCAAAGCATTATACGGCCTCTTTATGTTTGAACATTTGCATCATGTAACACATGATACTCCTAATTAGTTTATTTATGTTTAATGAATATATGTTGCTGTCTCAATTTGATTATCCGGTGCATACAAGAGACACATTAAAGAGTGGTAAATATCCTGAAATGACAGTATTTGAGGTTTGTTCGGGGGTCTACCCGTCCGGCCCTGGGGGAGACCACCCACCGAGCTGTCCTGAGGGTAACTATCATTTAGTCAACATGTCCCAACATCTTCAAGCCTGTGACAATTGTTGACATGAGTATTTCAGAGAAACAAAAGTTATTGAACACAATTGTTTGTCAGTGGTTTAGGATTGTAAAACTGCAGGCTCAATTGCTTTAACTCAATTCTTGAATAATTTAGTTTTTTCTCTCAAAACAATAAGCTTGTAAGTTTCTAATTGATTTTGTGCAAAAGAACAATTTGCTCAATAACTTGCTGTTTAAATCCGAGTTGATTCTCAGTGAAATTATCAAACTCTTCACAACGTCTTAAAATGTTTTCATTGTGTGAGCTATCACAAGGAAAACCATCCATTCATGCGATCACATGCAATCACAGCAAAATCCCCAGTGTTAAATTAACACTGAGAGTGTGAATTATATAAACTCTGAGCAGAGTGTTAAAGAAACACTGAAGCGGTGTTAAAGTTAATGAGATAATTAAGTCAATAATTTTAGTATAATAAATAAAGTATATTATACATTTTGTTGCAACATAAACATCTCTTTTAAGCTACATTACTCATATCTTTTTGTCTAAAGGTGGACATCTGTAGGCTTCGGTTTGCAATTCTCCTGAATGGTAACTGCAGTTATCTCTTAATCCAAGCCTATATGTCTGTTGTGGTTTAATTGCAATGTTTTGTTGCATAACATGAACATCTTTCAATAGCTGACTGACTGCTGACTGATCCTATTATAATAAAGACGAGGAACTGCCATGCCCTCTCTGTTGTTTGTATTCACTTCATACAAATGTGAAATAAACGAGTTCAGAATGATAATGAACTCATGTGCCATGCAGCAATAGGCTATCCGAGCAAAACAAAAAGTTCAAAAAAGCTTAGATTATGTATTAAGTCTTAAAGAAAAATGTTTAGATGAAGTCGTGGAGACAGTGTAAACATTAACTTTACATATTAATCTTCCGTCAGCTCGCTTTTTGATTGGCTATTGTTTCGTTTCACGCGACAATCTCCAGAGCGTTCGCGCGTTTCTACCACATGTAAACAAATCTAACTGTCTATGAAAAAATAGGTTCCCCCCCCCCCCCATGTCATTCTTTCTTCAGTCAAAAAGAAATGAAGGTTTTTGATGAATATATTCCAGCATTTTTCTCCATATAATGGACTTCAATGGGAACCAAACGGTTCAAGGTCCAAAAGAAAGTTTCAGTACAAACTGCAAACTGTTCAAAGGGCTTTAAACGATTCCAGACGATGAATAAGGGTCTTATCAAGCGAAACGATCGCTCGTTTAATAAATAAATAACAAAGTTTAAGTTGTATAAGCTCAAATGCTCACCTTGCTCTGTTCTGTGACGCACGTTTGTGACTCTCCCGTTCCAAATCGTACACCAAAATGAACGAATCTTTTTCCGAGTCATTTAGTTCATTCAATGAACGAAATGAACTTATTGACCCAGAAAAAGATTCGTTCATTTTGATGAACGAGTTCGAACAGGAGAGTCACAAACTTATCAGCATAAACTATCCTTTAATGCTTTTGCGTTCTCTCACAATTGTTTTGCGTTCCCTGAGAAACTTTGCGTTCCCTCGCTAAAATGTTTGCGTTACTCCGAGAAACTTTGCGTTCCCTTGCAAAACTTGTTTCTCGGGGGAGTGCAATCATAGCTCTTAAAGGGACATGGTGACGAAAAAATGAATTGGCGATTCTTTTGCGTTCCCCCGAGAAATATTGCCTTCCTTCCTTGCAAAGAACACAAACATATTGCTAACAACGCAAACATTTTTGCAAGGGAACGCAAAGGTCTTGGGAGCAAACTCAAATTTCTCAGGGGAACAGAAAACATTCGCGAGAGAACGCAAAAGCCTCGCCAAACACTTTTTCCCTCCATCAACCCCTGAAAATGGAAACATAAACACATAAAATCCGTCAGAAAAGGAAACCTCCCCCTGTCAAGAGACATAGGTGAGAAACTACCTTTATACACTACAGACGCACAATAGCGTTGAAAACCTGTTCAGCAAGCGTGTTCTTGCAATACATTTCAATTTGTCACATTTCAAAGAGGGAAGGCAATCTCTGCCAAATTCTTCAAAGGTGCTGGGACCTCCTCCACCCGCTGCAACAAGCCAAGGCAAGCTGACCGGAGAAGAGACTGCGCCCTTCCCAGAGAGACCTGACAGGATGAACGGCACTGAACGCAGACCAATCTTTAACCGTGCAGCATGAACTTATGGGTGTTTTTCTTTCTCTTTTGCATGAGTGGTTGAGTGAGCATATAGTAAGCCTGGTATCCAAGTTCATAATTACATTGGAAAATTGACAGTGGTTAGTTAGCGTAACACATCAACCTGTCGAAAGAAACCGGAAATGGTGGTACTTCCAAAATAAAAGTTTACATAAACATTACTTTTTCAAACAAGTTACTTTGTTTTCCCATTTATTGACTGACAGCGCTCCTGTCTTTATGTTAAAAGAAATCAGGGGTGAACATTGTAGATAACGTTAAATGTGAGCATGTATTTACTCACCTCACAATCACAAAAACAATTTAGTATTCCTCAAAATGCATAAAAACGGCGAAATGCAAACTCAGAATATTAACTGTAATAATGAAAAAAGTTCAATTAAATAAGAAGCTGGGTTCGAAATCACACACTCTCTTGAGTAGGTAACGTTTATAACATTAAATTGTTTTATGTACATTTGCTCACCTGTCTAATAAAGTACATGCAAGAACGGCGTCTCTGTCGAGTCGAAGTTAGTCACGGACGTGGAGGTCTCGGCATCTCGAAAACGCCACGCTGATATTGATCCTCGTTTTAGTTCTCCTTTTGTCCCAAAGTCTGCTTGCCATCGTCCATAATGTTTGGACGAAACAACAACAGCGTGAGCACCACGTCTGTCGCCATGGTTACTATGGCAGTAGGAGCGGAAACCTGGGATAACGCGAATGGGCTCTATGCACGGCGGTATTTCCGGTGAAGCATTAGGGATGCTCGATAACTTCCGCCGATCATAGAGTCCAATGCAATAGCGAGAATTTATATTGAATTTTATACTCCATGGTTATACTAATGAAACGTTAGTAACAAAAACAGATAAAACAGACACCCCTCGTTGTGTTTATGCTTCTTTTTAAAATTATATCAAATAAACATAACTGTATATAAAATTACATCTAAACGTATGTACGTTTCGTTTCAAAGACGGGAGGACAGTAAATATTGAAGACTCTGCCATAATCCAGTTTTCTCCGGTTTTCCTCCGCTTTAATCTACACAACCGGAAATAGACGAGCATCCTTGCGTCAAATGCGGAACTTATGCGTGCATATAGCCCATATTACGTCATTGACATGCGACAATGCCCAGGGACAAGCCCTTATTTAAAATAGTAATATCTCTGAAATTAAAAATCTTTGGGATATTGCAAGTACACAACTGCAGAAAAAAATATATCACACTGTGCAAGTGATTTCAATGCTTCGGTTTGCATGTATGGACCCTCATTATGTTACTGTGTTGGTGTGGGGCTATTTTGAGACTTGTTAGTGGTATTAACTAGTGATTTCTAAATGCCCCAATTACTAGCGTTATACACTAAACAGCTTTTAGAGATAAAACTCTTTACATTCGATTATCATGAAAACAAATTGAGAGCGGTTGACTAGGTACCGATGTTTTATTAGACCAAAGGTTCATTTTTTTGCGCCAGAGTTCTCATTTAAATAGTGTTTAAAAAAGCTTATTTTCAGGTTAGACCAGCATTTAGTATTTAAACTTCAGTTTTAGTTCTAACTGTATATTTCTATGGCATCACTGTCGAAGAGTTATCAGCTGGTGAAGTGGATTTACTTATTGTAGACGAAATGTGTGCATCGTCTTGTGTCTATGAAAAATTAAAAATGCTGCCCTTGGAGGATGCATAACTTCGAAAACGTATCCTCGCTGCGTTATGACTATGAGCAGAGAATGTCTAATAGGCTTTATGCACAACTTACTTCCGCATTCTCTGTAAAACAGGTCGCATCGCTTATCTGTTCTAAAAATCCGTTCAAAAATGTGATGACGTCACACAATAGCAGAATGCTAGCGTGTTCCGGCCAACAATGGCCTAACCTGTAAGAAATCAAAAGGACATAAGTACTCGTTCATTCGACTTTTGACCTATAATCTATATTGAACTTGCGGAATCAACAATAAAATCTATGTTGATTTAACGAATAGCAGGTGAAAGAGACACATTTAGCCGTTTAGCCCCATAGACTCCCATTCATTCTGCTCTCGCCCGCGATCACCTCCAGTGGAATTCTAATGGAACTGCAACCAAGATGATACACAATAGGAAGTGCCAAGGCTCTCCGTTAGACGGGCTCTACTATGAGGCAATGACGTTTTAGGCAGCGAATGGGCATGAAGGCTCCTCACAAAACTGATTTAAGACAGACTTCTGAGGCAAAATAGAGCGTGCTTTGGTGAAAACTAAGTGAATATTTAATTGCAATAATAATTTCTATATTATACATTTTCATCCAAAGCAAAAATTACAATTGCTATATATGTCAGAGTTCGCACGCCTCTGGAGCAACTAGGGGTTAAGTGTCTTGCTCAGGGACACATTATTGGTGTCTCACAGTGGATTCGAATCTGGATCTCTCACACCAAATGCATGTGTCCTATCCACTAAGCCATATATATATCTATATATCTAGAAAGATAATGTACCAAATACATTACAAAATGTGTTAATTTTTTCAAATTGTTATTAGGACTTTTTTAACAACAAAAAAAGGTTTTTATTTTTAAAAAACGTCCTGGAAATAGTAATTGGTTGTGTAGATTAGTACGTTTTGTAAAAAGAATTGGGACTGTTCACACAAAACGCAACTTTTTCATTGTTTTTAGACTGACGTCTTTAACCATCGCGTCTCGCGCATGACGCGGCGTAACATCTAAAAACATTCAAATCAAGTTAAAACATTTTAAAAACACGCGTCTTTGCGCTTTTTCCATTCCATTGACCAGGGTTTTGTGTTTTAACAGCAAAAACACGTTCTGTGGGGTTTCATGACAGTTATAGGGTGGTGATGGTACAAGAGCACCAGGACGGAGTACAGCTTGGTTTGACTTCGTTATCCTGCAAAGCCTGTGCGTCGAGTCTCCAATACGCTCAAGAAATTAATAGTCACTCAAATATCACTGTCACACGCCTAGATAAGATTTCCCATGCCTACACTGATTACACAAACACAAAACATAGGTCATACACACACATGCTCAAATGTAAAATACACACCCAGAAAAACCTGTCATGATTGTGTCACACATACAACGTATATCTGTATCCATTTATGCTTAAATGACACTCGACTGAGGCCAAGTTGCACAAAAAGCCCTTTATCCTGTTTTGGCACTCAGGAACAAAAGCTTTTTCTCAAATTAATTTATTTTTCTCCAAGAGTCAAGATTGTTTAGAATAAAAAGTACAGTACAGTACATTAATAACATACTGTACAATGCCTATGAAAATATATTTATACAAATAAATATCAACCAATCAGAACGCATAAAATATAAAAAATTTTGCATTGTGTATTGCCAGAATCATTATAACTGATTAGAAAACAATTAAATACCGCATTTGAGGATGTCTCAGCAATGTGAAGCACACGTTTGTAAGGTTTAAAGGGTTTCAAAGTGCAGTTCAGAGAAGGTGGCTGAGGGAGGGGGGGTGGATCATTGGAGGTGTAGTCAGTAACGCTGTTGCGTTCGGGTGCGATTGTCAGCAGAGGCTCCTCGCCTACGCATGGTGACACCCACAGTCTCACCGGTCTGGTTCAGCAGGGATGAGAAGAAAGAAAGAGAGAGAGAGGGGACAGAGTACGTTAGATCAGGGGAACAGATCACTTCATCTTAACTCAGGGTTAGTACTCACAAGTGCAGGACCCACGGCAAAGATACCCCTCAGTGCTGGGCCGCCACCAGCTGTATCCTGCACATCTGTTAAATCAAGTAATCAGAAGGTATGAGCTAATGCACAAGCCAACAAACACAGCTGTCTAAAACAAGAAACATTCATAGGGTCCAATTAAAAGCTATTTGAGTTCACCTCAACTCTGATAAATGTTTAAAGGAGTAGTTCACTTTTATAAAAACTTTTTTTTTAATAAAAATGTACTCACCCTCACTTCATCCAAGATGTCCATGTCTTTCTTTCTTCAGTCAAAAAGAAATTATTTTTTTTTGTGATAAAAACATTCCAGGATTTTTCTCCATATAATGGACTGTGATGCGCGTTTGTGACTCTCCTGTTCGAACTCGTTCATCAAAATGAACAAATCTTTTTTCGAGTCATTTGGTCAACCAAATGACTCGAAAAAGATTCATTCATTTTTGATGAACGAGGAGAATCACGAACACGCATCACAGAACAAAGCAAAGCGAGCATGTGCTTATAAAACTTAAACTTTTGTATTTATTTTTTAAAAGAGCGATCGTTTCGCTTGATAAGACCCTTATTCATCGTCTGGTGTCGTTTAAAGCCCTTTAAAGCTGTACTGAAACTCTCATTTGGACCTTGAACCGTTTGGTTCCCATTGAAGTCCATTATATGGAGAAAAATCCTGGAATGTTTTCATCAAAAACCTTAATTTCTTTCATTAATTTCGACATCTTGGATGACATGGGGTTGAGTAAATTATCAGCAATTTTTTTTTAAAGTGAACGACTCCTTTAAAGCTTTGACTGTGTGGATTAAATGTCCAGAATTTGAAATGAAACTGACATTGCAGCCGTTGATTAAGTCTGTCGAGTGACTGCAGGATCCTCTGCTCCTCTAGTGACAGAGCGCTGATGCTGAGGGACTGCATTCTCTGGCTATGGGGTCCGACTGGACCGATGCAGGACTTATGGGTCTGAGCCCAGTCCACAACTTCATGAGCACCGTCTGACACCTCTAGTCCTGTAACAGGGGGAAAAGAGTGTTAATGCTTGAACTCATCAGTTCAGTCAAAGTCTACTTCGGGTTTTACGCGTACGCGAGGGTCCGTGTACATGTTTCACGTTTTGCATGACACAAATTTCGTCACTAGAATAGTGCGCGCTACATACGCCAACTGGTTACCGCACAAACACATTAAATTTGTTTTGCACCAATCAACTGTTCCACAAGATGGCAACAATGGCACCAGCAGTTGTTTCACAGTAGAAAAAGAAACTAAAGAGATGGAACAATAACAAAATAAGAACAACAACAGATACCCACATTGACAAGCAACTGTGTAAAGGGGGTTTTTATGAGATACGCACAACTTTAGTTTAAAAGAATACAAAGACATTATTATCAGTCATAACTTCTGGAGAAAAATAGCACAGACACCGGACAAAGATGAAACTTTCTAGTCTAGAGCGCGTGTGTCCATCAAATGGAGTATACTTTGAAAGGCTACACATTCGACTCTATGTATTCAGTACGCTAGCTCACAATCTGTCTTTATATAGCAGTTTAATTGAAAAACAATCCTGCCGTTCAAAAGTTTGGTGTCACGAAGAAAGAAATGAATACTTTCATTCAGCAAGCTTAATTTAATTGATCAAAAGTGACAGTAAATACGTTTATAATGTTGCAAAAGATTTCTCTTTCAAATTAATGCTGTTCTTTTTGAACTTTTGAAGTATCCCAAAACAAAAAGTATCCCGGTTTCCAGCAAAAAGCGTTGAGCAGCAAATCATCATATTAGAAAGATTTCTGAAGGATCATGTGACACTGAAGACTGGAGTAATGATGCGGAAAATTCAGCTTTAGCAATTATATTTTAAAAAATAGCTATTACAATAGAAAAAAAGTTATTTGAAATTGTAATAATATTTCACAATCAAAGGTTTCCCCTCATATTCATATTCGCTAAAACGACTTCTCTGTCCCATAGATAAAGCTTTGACATGAGGGTACACTATTTTCATTTTTGTTGAGTATATTTAAAAAACATGCTGCATTTTTAATGATGTTTGTACATGAGATTGAACTGATTTACATGTTAGTTGATTTTGTTCTTGCCTCTAGAGAAGGCTCATATACTGTATCTACATAAGATATCAGATATCACTTTAAATTATAAAGTACCTTCGCTGTCTGCTGTATGACCTGTTTTATTTGGGTGTTGAGTTTTTGGCACCATGACCTGTTAAACCACAAATAAACAGTTATTAAAAAAACAATAATGAAGTTATTGAAAGCAAACAGCAACATGGTTAATATAGACAAAAATGTAGGCCGATACAGATAACCGTTATTTCTTTATATTTGAAAGCCGATAATATCGGCCGATAAACTTAAATCCAAATTTTTCTCTAATTTTGAGAGCCTGATTACAAAAACAAGTCCATGTCCCAAGCACACAATTATAATGATGTTCTCATAATAGTGTCGATAGGACAGATTTGCGTTGCACATGTTGTCCCGAACCAGATTTTCATTTTTTGAAGAGATTTCAATCATATTTCAAGAAATTCAAAAACATAAACAGTGCTCAACAAGTGTCTCAGCTCAAGGGAATAATACATTATTTATCAGCTTTAATATATTGGCCACATTTTCTTACCAGGCCGATAACGATAACATATATCGGCCGATACCTATATGCTGGCCGATATATCGTGCATCCCTACAAAAAATGTATGCAAGTATATGGTCAACATTACATTTGCCCTTACACTATAAACTAGATTACTGTAAAACTTCCAAGGAGGCTGCATTATTTAAATTACGTTCATTTGTATTTATTTTAGGGCTGTGCAAAAATTAATTGCGATTAATCGCATCCAAAATAAAAGTCTGTGTTTACATAATACATTTGTGTGTGCTGTATATAATTATTTTGTATAAATAAATACCTATGCATGCATGTATATATTTAAGAATTATTTGCGCTTAAATTCTGTATATATATATATAAATACAAAATCTATATTATATAAATATAAATATTTTATATATGAATAACACATTTTCTTAAATATATACATGCATGTGTGTGTATTTATTTATACAAAATAATTATATACAGCACACACAAATATATTATGTAAACACAGACTTTTATTTTGGATGCGATTAATCGCAATTAATTTTTGCACAGCCCTAATTTATTTATATATTTAAAATGTTCTTGCTTTCTAGTACAGTAGTTTAAAAATAAGTGCATTTTTACCTGATGAGGAAAGCTTGGCTTTCTCTGTGCGGTTCCTGCAGTTTGACTTCTGTTGTTCTTCACCATGCTACCCTCCATAGCCTGTCTCCTTATTAGACTTTTCACTGATTTACAGGGGAAAAAGCACATTCATATCCAACCAGCATATTTCAGTGATCAGTGACCAAAGGTACCAATGAATCTCTGAAAAATAATGTCTTGATGTATGGACTCACATATCTGTGGCTTTAATGTCTAAACATCTCTCTTTATTCATTTTTTCACTTATATTTTACTGGCATGGGTTTTGTATGTAGCCTATTATAAGTCATTGTATGTATAAAATGTTTTGTCAGAGGTTGTTTGACAAACCTATAGCCTCTTTACCGGCAGACAAGAAAAAGCCACCCATTCTTGAGGCTCCTTTGACACCACTGATCAGACTATCACCATTGATGGTAACATGGGACAGGCTGGCACTGACTTGAGGCAAAGAAGACAACGGGCCATTGTGAGCAAGAAAACTTTGAGGGTCACCTAAGTCAATTAAGAGAGAGAGAGAGAAACACAAAACAGATAAAAGAAAGGTCCCAAAGTATGAAAGTCACTTCTCCTGTTCTTAAGGTCTCTGTCCTCAAAGTGTAGAGGTTTCCTGATGTTATAAAAATAATTGAACCCTGAAGAACTAAAGTCCATCATTAAATGGATCCATTTCAACAGAGTAGTAATCCCAAGCGGTGCATTGCTGTGCAGAAGGCCAAAGAAAACTGACCAACACCAAAAAAAAAAAGAGCCTTTACCAATGACTCCAGAAAAAGATCCCTCAAGAATCTCCAAGAAAGACACAAAGAGAGCTCAGTTCTTTAGATTGACTCTAGTTTGACTTTATATATGACAGGGTGCAGTGAAAGTCCATGGGAAGCTGATGATTTTGTAAAAAGTTGCCGGAATGTTTCGTGTCATTTGAAAGACACCTACTGAAAATGTGTCTTTTCCCCACAGCAGGTATATAATCATTCCAAAAACTTTAAAGGGAAAGATAAAATGCAGAATGGGAAAATACAGAAATAGGGAAGCAATAAATAGTTAGGCTGGAACGTGCAACATCATGTTCTAACCAAGCATGTCATTTATCAGAAAAAAATGCACAGCAATGTGTCACATAACATCCAATCACAACATATTTAATATTGATGGCTACTAATGTTTCGACACCATTAACATGATGAACACAAACCTTTTGTGTACAATCTATCTATGCATACTTTCATTCATTACTTGGCTTCAAAACAAGCCCTTGGCTTCTTTTTATTACATTTAAATGATAATTTCTAATATACAGTATATAATCTTAATATATATATGAAGAGTTCAGATGCAAAAGCCTCTAAGTGCCATTTGAAATTTTCTTCTAAAATGATCATTTTTATCAAGCTTATATATTTAAGTTCAATAATTTCACTTAAATGGCAATGAAGATTACCTATTAATTGTCATTTAAGTGAAATTACTGAACTTAAATATACAAGCTTGATAAAAATGGTCATTTTAGAAGAAAATTTCAAATGGCATTTAGAGGCTTTTGCATCTGAACTCTTCATATATATATACATGTTTGTTTAATATTAATATTTCTCTTAGGCTTCTACTGTATGTAAAAGTTTCTACCAAAGTGAAAGTATTAGATATAATGTACACTATGTGCAGAGAGCATTCACTCAATATTATCATCTCATTTTTGACAGAGGTGGCTTTAAGAGGATTTTTTTTCATCATGATTTAATATATATATATATAATGTTTTTATATATTTCATATTTCTGTGCATTCATATTTATAATATATTTATTTTATTTATTTGCAATGTGGTTTTACCAATTTTTAGTCTACCAAAAAGAAAAGATCACAATCACAATTTTGTTGTGATTAATAATTATCATAAAAGCCTTTCTTATGACATTCGTAGCCTCTTAACTGTCACCGTCCCGCTACCGGGACACCTAACCTTATTTCACTATATTTCAAATAAATGCTAATCTAATTATAACAAATTATATATCGATGGAAAGGTCTAAGACTTCTAAATAAATATTCTACCCCTGTTTTGTGTTACAAATTATGTAGGAAGAGTAATTGATGAATTTATGACAAGAGTGCACCTCAAAAAAATCTTTTGCAAATAAATAAATTTTTTGTAAAATATATATTTTATATAAAATAAATATACTGTACTATAAATACATAGTACAGTATATTTGATTTACTGTAAACTTAAACTTCCATAACTTTTTCATACTTACATTTGTTTTCACTTGTGTGTTTTCTTTGGGTATATATTCCAAAGCATTCTTGAATTACAACCATTTAAGTTTGAATAGTGCATTTACTGTAAATCCGCATTCTCAAAAAGGTCTATTTTATGTCTTTTTTAAATTTTCAAGTTTCATTAGTTTAAAAAAAAAATCATTATTTGATATGTCAAGCTTTGTAGGGTAAACATAATATCCACCGATGTATAGTGATACACACACACACACACACAAAAAAAAAACATGTTATGTGATAAATACTAAGTTTGGGGTTTTCTTTACCGTCTTTGCTGGCGAGAGCACTCCGGACCCCATGCCACAGCATCGAGATCTCCTCATCTGTTGGAGTCCGGTCCAAACAGATCCCGTTTTCTCCACACCTGCACCTGGGATAGTCTGGAGGGGACAGGGAACAGATGCGTGTCTCGTGGGTGTAGGTACAGTGAGGTGGAGCTGGATCAGTTCTTTGGGTCTGGCTATCTGGAGTATCTTTGCCCAGGGCCAGATCCTGCAGACCTGCGGGATCACAGCAGGATGCCTTTGAGATGTACACGGGACACTCCACAACTTCAGGTTTCGGAATCGGAGGGGGCCGAGGCACCAAAACCTTCCCCTGGGTCTTGGCCACATGTTGCGCTTCCCTGGCAGATTGCGGTCTGATGATAGTGCCCTTCCTAACCCGGGAGGTAACGGGACACGAGCCAACTCTAGCTGAGCCTGCTCTCCGGGGAATCCGTGAGCCCCTTTGAGAGGTGGGCTCCTGTGTGCGGATGTCTTGGGGCCCTACCTCTGTCCAGGCTTGTCTAGTGGATTGGGGCCCAGTGGGGACAGCAGAGGTCTTATTGGAGATGTTTTTTGATACCCCCGTGAGTAAATTCCCATGGTCCGAGTGATCCGCGGAGAGCTGTTGAAACACTCGGTCCACCCCTTCAACTCCATCCACCTCATCCAGCCAACGCAGTTTCTTCTTAATGGTCCTATTCTGCTCCGGCTCATTGAGTTTTGTCCTGGCCAGCTCCACGCTGTCCCGGATTGATATGGCCACTTCTTTGGTGAAAAGCACATGGCCAGGGGTGTAAGTGAATTTGACATTTCCCGATTTGGATTTTAAATGGTTTTTAAGAATCCCTTTCAGGAATCGGGCGTTTGCAGATGTTCGGTTTGGTTCCTCTGTGCTTTTCAACATATTCGCCTTTTCCAATTTGGCGACATCCGTTTCATTTTTAGGATCTGATGCATGTATGCGTATACTCTCCTCCATGCTCAGCGGTTTGGATTCTCTCTTGAGCGCTGTGGCATCATCCACATCTGGATTGTGTTTATGCGACTGTGAGGAACTCGGTGCTTCTATGTTCAGGGAACTCGGTTCGGTCCGGTGATTTATGCAAAGATGGGCAGCTGAGCTTGACAAGGCTTTGAACGGACTGTCGCTGTGTGTGTATCTGCTGTCTGGAGGAGCCGCCTGTGTTTCTGCTAAATCACATTTCTCCTCCGGGGTTCTTGTCTGCTGTTCGGATTCTGACTTGAAGTCTTTAGTCAGACTTGAGAACTGCAGAGGTGTGTTTTCTGGCACGGCTTGCGTTCTGCAGTGGGCAACCACAGATGCTTTGTCTTTCAAAATGTTCCCTTGAGGGTTTTTGTCATTATCATGAGTTATCATATGTGCGGAGTTCTGCTGCAACAACTCTTCTTGGCAAGCAAGAGTAGACTGGGCGTTGAAGTTCTGCGATTGGTCCTTGTAATGATCAAATCTTTCTTGCGTGTGATTGTGGAGACTCCTGATTTCCTCTGCTGACTCATGATCCTTTGGTGTCTGTAAGCTGGAATTGATTTTGCTTCCCCGGTTTATCTCCTCCAGGAAACTCTTGGCTATAGAAGAGGAGGGGTGAGATGCTGAAAGTGGGTTGTTGGACTGTCTCAATGGGGATTGAGAATGTTTGGGGGCTTGGAGCTTATAAGGATCCATAGGGAGGTAGAAAGACTGGGCATAGGTGATGCTCTGCTGGGAGCAACACACTGGTGCAGTGTCAAGGCTCTTCTGAGGTTCTCCATTCTCTAAACTGTCCAGACTAGACAGACTCTCTGTCTCACTATGTGGGGTATCAAGATACTCCTGAAAATCAATATAAAAACATTAGAGCACTTATGCACTGATACTGGGAAAGTGCTTTTTGGAGATCATGTTGCATGCATGCTGCAGAGGGATGGAAAATAAATAATATAAATCATTCTAATATGCTGAAGAAACATTTCTTATTATAATCAATGTTGAAAACTGTTGAGCTGCTTGAAGGAGTAGTTCACTTTAAAAAAAAACTTTTGCTGATAATTTACTCACCCCCATGGCATCCATGATGTCCATGTCTTTCTTTCTTCAGTCGAAAAGAAATTAAGGTTTTTGATGAAAACATTCCAGGATTTTTTCCATATAATGGACTTCAATGGGAACCAAACGGTTCAAGGTCAAAATGAGGGTTTTAGTGCAGGTTTAAAAGGGCTTTAAAGGGCTCTTATCTAGGACCCCATGACGCGAAAAAAGATTTGTTCATTTTGATGAACGAGTTTGAACAGGAGAGTCACGGACGCTCATCAAAGAGCATTTGTGCTTATAAAACTTAAACTTTTTTATTTATTTTTTAAATGAGCGATCGTTTCGCTTGATAAGACCCTTATTCATCGTCTGGTGTCGTTTAAAGCCCTTTGAAGCTGCACTGAAACTCTCATTTGGACCTTGAACCGTTTGGTTCCCATTGAAGTGCATTATATGGAGAAAATCCTGGAATGTTTTCATCAAAATTCGACTGGAGAAAGAATGACATGGATATCTTGGATGACATGGGGGTGAGTAAATTATCAGCAAAAGTTTTTTTTTAAAAGTGAACTACTCCTTTAATATTTTCGAGGAAAACGTTTCTGTTTTTCAGGATTCTTTGATGAATAAAAGGATAAAGAGAATAAACATTTTTTTTGTATCATTGTCCCTTTTGATAAATGTATTGCATCCTTGCTGAATAAAAGTATAATTTAAAGGGAGTCTAAATCAGGGGTGTCTGCAGGATCTGATCTCAGGGTTAAAAAAAAAAAATACATTTGACTTGCCACATGGTGGCACGGTTTTCAACACTCTTGATCAGAGAAACAATCAGAGAAAAGCTTCAGAGAATTAAGAGGCTTCATTTCTCAGTCCCTACCCAATAGTTGTAGGCCTTTTTGCAAATGTTTCAATCAAGTTCAGCTGTTTTAGAGAGCGTTTACTCATTTTGAGTATAGTTTTAAAGATAATTTAAAGTATAATTTTTCGTGTGTGGAAAAAGCGTCAATTAAACAACACTAAATTAAAATTAATAATTTAAATAATAATTTGACTTTAAAACACAAACGCACACCTTTATTTATTCCTATTCTCTCTTACTTTCCCAATATGCCATGACTGTACAATAATAGACTAATAATCAATAAAAAAAAAAAACTATGTAAAAATAAAACACCATTAATTAGCGCCCTCTCATGGTACGCACAGTGCGCACTGGTGTTAATATATATCACTTTTGTAATATTTCCATATGGGAAAGGATGATATGCAAGAGGATTGCAGTTTTAAAGATCTTTTGGATGCAAACATTAAAATCTTCTAAAAATGAAAAAAAAAAAAAAAATATATATATATATATATATATATATATAATAGCTTACTAAAGGCATGATATTCAGACATTCCTATGAAGGGCATTTCATAAGTCTGACTACATTTGTGCACAGAATGGAACACCTTTCCAAGAATACCTAAGCCTGAAACCTTTCCTATAAATAGGGTTCTTAACTTCTATGTCCTGCTCTGTTCACAGCTCAGTGTATTAAATGATGTGTTGGCTGCAAGCCAGTGCAGGTAACATTCCAGCTGGTGTGTGTAAGAAGACATAACTGACTGTCTTAGAGGGAAAGAATGTTTGTTTGAGTTATAGAGATAGGGGAATGTGTATCTGTGGTTTCAATATGCGTTTGTGTGATTAAAGCCTCAGGATGAGCTCATCTCTTTAAAACACCTCAGTTTGTTTAGAAGATGCTGAAGCGTGTCGTGGCAGGAAGAGCCCCGTGCTAAAAGTACAATGTTGGATTTGGATCTTAAAACCTTCACAATACTCCTTAAGAAAATGCTCAAATACGCTTTTAACATACACAATCACGGGCAAAGTAGCTGATGTAAATGTATAGACAGAACAGCCACTGTATGTATATTAACCTGAGGATCAGCCTGCTCTTTTACTGTGGGAACAGTGTGTGTCTCCTGTTGCGGATTGAGGAAGAACAGCTGGTTGTTCCTGAAGTGAGTCAGGCTGCTGTCCTGCAGGAGTTTGGCGTAGGCCTCAGCTGCAGATAAGGCACGCAGGTGACGGGCGCCCCCTGAAGGCTTTGGGGAGGAAGTGCAGCTTCTGAAACACACAAGTGGTTCAATGCAGGCCTTATAATGATCATCAGCTTATTTCTTTAGCATCTTTCTAACAAGTTAGAAATTCAGCTTTACTATATCTATATCATTACTCCACCATTTAATAGACCTTTTAAAAATATTAAGCAAGCTGGCATCACAAATATATATATATATATGTACAGAGCTCTATGAAAAAAAAAAACATTCTAAGTGCACCCAAAATGATTAATATTTTAAATAACTATACAAAATGTTTTTATTTTTATTAATTGTAAAATAATTTTTAGTCATACTTGTTGGTTACATTATTAAAATGCTTTTAAATACTTTGAAATGTCACGAAATGTTTATTCATATATGGCCGGAAATATTTATTTCTCAGTGTCCTTTAATCTTTTTTTTTTTTTTTTTTTTAAATCTGTTTCATTTAAAAAAATAATTGAAATAATTTTCAAGATAGCTCTTGAAATATCACTCTAATGGAATGAATTCATTAACGTTGTTACATGACATTACCAAAATGTATCTCCAACCAGTAATGATATATTGGATATATCATGGCAGCAATGTCGTACCTGTTAGTAGTGGAGGCACTGGGTAAAAATTGAGATTGATGAGTAAATAAGAGTGGACTGCCTTGAATATGATGTAGCGCTTCATCGAGGTTGGGTGTTCTTCTCTTAAAGGCTGCTGCAGAACACAAATCACTTTATTTAAATGATGGATGTGACCTGACCTAATCATAGTTCAAGAAATAAAGAGTGCTTGTAGACACATGAATTAGGCCGTGTTTACACCGCAAGGCTTCATGCACAGATCTGATCTTTTCAACAAGTCAGATATTTATCATATACGACAGGTATCTGATATCTGTGTTTATAATAAATAATAAATAGATATTTATCATATACGACGGGTATCTGATACCTCTGTTGGTGATTGCTTTACTATGCGATGATTTACATAGGCTGGTGGTGCCATTATTACTTGCAAGCATGGATAAGTTAAAAACTTTTGACTGAACAGATATAAACCGGGAAAAAATGGTCCTTTTTGTTTGTTATTTTATCCACAGGTTGTTTAAAAGTGAAATAAAGAAGCGCAGTAAGATTACACAGTATTTCAAATGAATTAACGAGAGAAAGAGAGAGAGATTGCGTCTCTATGTAATAGTTTAATTACAAAAACAGCGTGTAAGTTATTACCTCACTGCTGAGAAATATAATGTAGCTTTCAGTAGCGAAGACGTTTCATTTGTACAATTCACAGGGCAGAGGTTGAAAAAAAGTTTCTATGCTCCTGAATGTTTCTGTGTGAGCAATATGTTACCAATTTCCACCTCAAAAACTGTGAATTTTAGTGCAAGCGCATACAGACATATCTGCTTCATAATGTGACATTAAAAAGCTATTTATTAGCGGTCGCTGAATCTAATACTCGCATTTATACGTAGGTCAGATGTCCAGATATTTAACGAATGAGTCCTATGTTTCATTGAACTTACCTGGTCTTTTCCTTTGGGATGGAGAGAGATGAGCTCTTTGGAAGTTTTCTGTGGCATCCTGGACCTTCTGATGGCGCTGCTGAAGAACATTCTCCCTCAGTCTCTTCTCCTGAACATCCCACTGTTTCCTTCTCTCCTCAAGAGCCCTGGAGAGACCGTGAGACAAACAGTCAGACAGGAAGAAAATATACGCTGTTTTCGTGATGTCTGACAGTCAGACAATGCTTTAAGACATTATTCATTTGTTTCAAGACGAATGGATGAGAACTTTGGCAACTGCGAGCAGCATATCAAATGCAACACTTGATTTGAAATGGAAATGAGACTTTAATCTAATCGGCAATATCAGCTCATTGTGCGTGCTGTCGCTATCTCAGACGTTTACTTTCCAGGGTCAACAGACACCCGAGCCTTCTCTAACAGATGCATTTCAGCTAAATTCATTTGTTAATGGCACAGAAACCACTGCATGCCTATGCTGCAGAAACTAAAACGATGCAGAATAATTTAATCATCGTAATAAAACAACAACCTGAACTAACATATAAAGGTCAAATTATTTCATTTAAAAAACATATTTAAGAATAATATTTCAAGAGGCTTATTGAGGATCTGCACACTGTAACCTGGTTGCCTTAAAACTTTAAGTTGATTGAACTGGAAAAAGTGAGTTAATACAATGAAGGAGATTGATTTAATCATCAGAAACTCAAAATAATAAGTTATCTGAACTAAATAAATTATTTAAGTTGATTTGACAAAAGAAAAAATGTTGTGATAACAAATCTTGAAAATATTGGAGCCCTATCTATGATATAAGTAAAAAAAAAAAAAAAAAAAAAAATCAAAGAAAATAATTTATAATAAAAGATTATGCCGAACTACTTTTAATGAGACTTTTTTTTCTTCATTATGATATAAGGATATTTTTTTTCCTTTAAAATATCAAAATTAATGGTTGCACTTTATTGTACAGTATGTGCATTTACATGTACTAGTTACCAAAGAAAGTACTGGTTAATTTAAGGTAACAACATGGTAAAGGTAAGGTTTAGGAGAAGATCAGGGTTAGTATCTAGTGATTACCCGGTTATTGTTATAACTATAATAACTACATAATATGTATATGGGGAACAGGACTGTAAAATAAAGTAGAACAACATTTCAGTGTATGCATGAACTGCATTTTTAATGTATTTCTGAATAAATTGAGTGTGTGTGTGTGGGTGTTGGGAAGAGACACAAGGAAACCTAAACAGAGGTTTTGCCTTGGCCCTGTGGTTTTAATTATTTTAATCTTTATTTTTGTAATGTCTTTAGGTTCCAAATAAATATCATACAATAAAAAATATCCTGTCATACTCATACATCCTTTAATATACTCTATATCTTTCAGGAATTACTTAATCACACCAAAAATAGCTCGGGATCTGTGTCTCGGCCTTCTCTGAACGCCCTCATCTGCCTCATCATCACTGCCTTCAATAAAGTAACGTAACTTTGCTCTTAGAGCTTCTATTTCAAGCTGGTAAATCCTGGCTGACAAATAAAGGATTAAATAACAGTATCCGTGGCCTGTAGGGAAGCTTCACTTTCAATGTGCACACGGATTGACCTGGTCAAACAGCCAGACTGAGTCATTAACTGCATGGAGACATATCTGACACTCACTGTCAACACCAAATTCATGAGCTGTGCACGTCTTCTGATCTCCGCTACTCTTACCCTGCAGTCTTTTAGCATAGTTGCCTCCTTGGTGAATACGCTGACGCTAGTTTTTTCCCCACCTCATCTAAAAACAAGTCTCCAGAGATCAACAGGCTAGAGCTGTGCAGTTTGATATTCATGTTGCAATGTATTAAATGTTTTAGGAAATAAATGGGCAGTTGAAATAGTTATAAAGTTATCATTTAAATGGGCAGCATATTCCCCCCCCCCCCCCCCCCCCCCCCCATTTTGATCTATTTAATTTGTGTTAAACGGTTATGAAGTTTCACCGCCAGAGATCGATTTTTCAAAACAACAACAACGCTGTGAATGCGTGGAATCATAAGAGTTGTCGTCTTCATTAACCTAAGACCTGGATGCTGAAAAACATTCATGTAAATTAGTCGACCTCCCAAGTGTAATCACTATAAGGTTTTCTACACAATCTGATTTCTTTTTGACACACTTACTTTCGTCGGCGATTTGTTTCCAGGGAAAGCTTGCGAGCCCGAGCCCGACAACACCTCTGTTCTTTTACTAGTATTTCCCTTTCATTTTCAGTCTCTCCATGTAAACCTGATCTAATGTTCCTAATGTGATGCAAAGTCAAGGAAGGTATAATTATTATAGAATAAAACATCATCGGATGATATGCACAGGCACATAATGAAAAAAACACAATGACACAGCAACAAAGAAATAACATACAAATAATATCTAACTAATATCTAAACGTTATAGAATATAATAATGTTTATATAATACAGTAGTCAAAAGTACTTTGGAAACTATACTATTTTTAATGTTTTTGAAAGAAGTCTCTTATGCTCTGCAAGCCTACGTTTATTTGACCAAAAATACAGAAAAACAGTAATATTGTGAAATATTATTACAATTTAAAATAATGGTTTTCTATTTGGATATACTTTAAAATATCATGTATATCTGTGATGCAAAACTGAGTTTTCAGCATACATGACAGATGATCCTTCAGAAATCATTCTAATATGAATCGTGATTTGATACTCAGTTATTACCCATGTTGGAAACAAGTTGTGCAGCTTAATATTTTTTTGTTGTGACCTGTGATACTTTTTTTCTGGATTAATTGAAGAATAACAAGTTTAAAAGAACAGAAATTTTACAATATAAATCTTTACTATCATTTTTTTAAAAATCAATTTAACATCCTTGCTGAATAAAAGTATTAATTTCTTTAAAAAAAAAAATGTACAGACCCCAAACCTTTGAACGGTAGTCTTTGTTGTTACAAAATGTTACAAAGAATCCTGAAAATAGCATCACAGGTTATGAATAAAATATTGAGCAGCACAGCTGATTCCAACATTGATAATAAATCAGCATATTAGATTAATTTCTAAGGATCACGTGACACTGAAAACTGGAGTAATTAATGTTGCTGAAAATTCATAGCCTCACACAGAATTCCTACTTAGCTATGCCACGATTAATAAATAAAGCCAGTTGTGTAAGTACAGTAGTTTATACACTACAAGTCAAACTATGAGAACAATCACTTTACATTGACGCTGGTAAGTTAATTCAGACAAGGAGGAAAAGGATACGAGTAATAAAGTTTGTCTTCCAGGACTGGCATCCCGAATATCAGGATGACAAGCAGCTGACAACACACTTCTCATCCATACAACAGAAGCTGCATCCTATTGACGTCGGAACGACCGCGCAAAAACATAGCTGGCACACGCAGAATTTATCTACTTTGGTAAAAAAGATAAAAAAAATATTGGTGCTCTGAAGAATGAGAAGATGAAAACAGTCCAGCCAGTGCCACAGCTAAACACAGACAGAAAGCGCGAAACCTATATCTTTAAAACTTCCTGTAGTTTGATACTTGATTTATCTAGACCAAACCCGTGTGTATGCTATTGACATTGTTTTAAATTAAAGCAGGCGAAAGTAACGTTATGACTTTATTGCCGTTCGCTGCCTCTGAAACAGTTACGCCATGTCGGTATTTGGTAACCATCGACGCGCTTCCTTGACAACTGACACAAACTCACGGTGGAGGCGCGGTCACGTCTATCTAAGCGATTGATGTTTATCACTCTCGACACTGCTGACACCTGCTGGATGCGAATGAAATCGATTCATGGGAAAATGCCCGTGTCTGTGGTAATGTTTGTGTAACGTACCAGTTTCCGAACTTTGTAAAGTCAAAGTATGTCTGTAAGACGAGGTAGTTGCTGATAGGCTATCTGCCGCCTCGATGGCAGGAAAATCTCAATTCAGTTGAAAAATCACCCCTCTTCATAAAATGGATCACATCCAACATATATTTGATTTTTTGTTTATATCTTTATCTTGTAAAAGACCATTTTACAAGAGGTAAACAACACTGGTCCAGAAACACTTCCTGTTTCAGTTTGTAACTGTTTTCTTTATTTCACATGTAAAGAAAACATCTTAAAGATGTTTGTTTAACTTTTTGATTCAGTTTTAGGCTATATTTTCTGTTGGTTGTATTTTATCCCAGCTTTTATGTAGTGTTAAAAAACTGAAACAGGAAGTGCTTCTGGACCAGTGTTGTTTACATCTTGCAAAATGGTCTGTAAAGTAGTACAATATGGACTTTCCTCCATCTTTTGAAAGTTTTTTCAAAAGTGAACTACTTTAATTTAGTCATAGGTTCTTGCTGAAGCTCAAACGTGCTGCGTAACACGAGAATGAACCTCATGAACCAATGAACCGTTCTCACGTCAAATTAACATGATTGAGCTTGTCTACCACAACTGATGTGTGAGTTGATGAATGTTTATATGTGAATAAAAGCCTAAAATCAATCTGTTCATCATATAAAGCGATCGGGTCTCTTCAGAAAATTTTGACTAAACCGCTCAATTAGTTTTACGGTCTCTTTATGAACTTTTTGAAGCGGCAAAGTGGTAGTTGTGTAGCTGTCAATGGAAGGACAGAAAGCTCTCAGAGTCAGAAAAAAAAATCTTCATTTGTGAAGATGAACAAAAGTCTTACGGGTTTGGAACGAGGGTGAGTAAATAATGACAGAATTGTTATTTTTGGGTGAATTAACCTTTTAAGTTTCCAAGCGTTTACCCGTGTCAATTCAAAGTCAGTTTTAGGCCTAATTGAAGACATTTCCCACATTAACTGCAGTTGTGAATCGTGGGTCCACCCAGGATTGATCCTGCCTGCCACACCCGTGACAGAGCGTGAACTGAAGCAAAACTGCTGGGTTAGAGATGTTAGGCTGTGAATGTAAGCAGCTGACAAGCCTTGTCGACCTGTTCAAGTGTGCTTCTTCCAGCTTGACATTTTCTCTTTTGAACCATGGCCTCTGTCAAGGATCTGTACACAACTGTCCTTCTGTGCGTGACCCTTGTAACGCTTGAGATTTATCAGAATCCTGCGCATGCGTTCAGACATCGCATCGGCAACTGTAAATTCACACTTCACACGTGCAAAAAAGGATAAGTGAGTGAAAATGCACACATCGCAGGCAAAAACACAACAGTAGAGGGGAAAAAAAGATGAGTGAGTGAATAATTAAAAAAGACAATATTAAAGTATTATGTCGAATTTATAAATATAAGAGGAGTCACTTAAAGGAGTAGTTCACTTTAAAAAAACGTTTGCTGATAATTTACTCACTCCCCATGTCACCCAAGATGTCCATGTCTCCAGAAATAAAGGTTTTTGATGAAAACATTCCATTCCATTCCAAAAAAACTTTTATTTTCTCCATATAATGGACTTCATTGGGAACCAAATGGTTCAAGGTCCAAATGAGAGTTTCAGTGCGGCTTCAAATGGCTTTAAACAATTCCAGACGATGAATAAGGGTCTTTTTTAGCGAAACGATCGGTCATTTAAAAAATAAATCAAAAAGTTTAAGTTTTATAAGCACAAATGCTCGCCTTGCTCTGTTCTGTGATGAGCGTTCATGACTCTCCTGTTCGAATCGTTCATCAAAATGAACAAATCTTTTTTCGAGTCATGACTCGAAGGGTCCTAGATAAGACCCTTATTCATCGTCTGGTGTCCTTTAAAGCCCTTTGAAGCTGCACTGAAACTCTCATTTGGACCTTGAACCGTTTGGTTCCCAATGAAGTCCATTATATGGAGAAAATCCCAGAGTGTTTTCAGCAACAAAAAAAAAACTTAATTTCTTTTCAACTGAAGAAAGAAAGACATGGACATCTTGGATGACATGAGGGTGAGTAAATTATCAGCTAAAGTTTTTTTTTAAAGTGAACTACTCCTTTAAAGGAAAATACTGAAAACATCTTCAATTATTTCTTTATTAATCTTTTTGTTTAATTGTCCAATGTTCTATAATAATTTATAAACAGAAATATACAATAAATTAAAAGCTTATAAGTAGTACTTCACTTATTTAGTATATTACTTTTGTAAATTACTTTTCTACCACTAGTTTAAACACAAGTATTTTATGTTTTCATACATTTAGTTTTTTTCCCATACAGTTCAATTGAAAAAGTGCTTATCCAACTTTACAATACTGTATGTTCTATACAGTTTTAGTTACATATTTACAAGCCTATATACAAATAAAGTAGCATGGATTAGTTTTGAATTGCTGCAAAGAGTAAAACAAAAGTTGCACAGTAATATTTGATCTCACACTAGAAATCTTTTATAAGCCATATGTTTTACTGCCACAGTTAAGCTGGTGTTTACAAGGGATCTGAAATGAATTAATGGCTCCCAGGTTCTTGTTGCTTCTATTTCCCTCTTGAACCTCTGTTTGTACTAAGCAAATAATAAAGCCAGGCTAAGCATGTGGAGGACAAATGTAATCCAGATCTCTGTAATCCAGTTACTGTGAGACATCCTCCCTGATCCGGATTTACAGTCACAATGAAACACTGAGGGTGTGAAATGTATGCGGCCACAGAAGTGCTCTTGCACACCGCATGGGGATTAAAGCTCTTATACAATCCTGACATTAACACACACATTAACGCATTACTAAACTGGCAAAACCCCTTCAGATACTGGTCCTCTTTCATCTTCAGGGACCGAACTGAAACTGAACTACAGGGTTAGCTATGTAAGTGTCATTTCCTCCAGCAGGAGACGTTAATGCACCATTAATGCCACTGAACTGACGTGCGTTTCTGCTCTAGAGGGCGCTGGTGTCCCTTTTTCTGTTCTAAATCGTGGGTGGGTAAATGTGTGTGTGTGTCTGGGAAAGAGAGTCTGTCTGGAGAGATGGGGGTCAGATATATTTTGCAAGTACAATTGTGTCGAACGCACATCTGAGAAGGAAAGTGCTTCAATAGCACAGAGAGTCTGACAGTGAAAGCCAGCTTTCCTCCCTTTCGTGGCCCTCAGGGTAACACGAGTGATCATTTCTCCCAGACTGATGTGTCACAAAAAGTGTCTAGGAAACTGCACCGTCTAGGATTGATTGGCTCTCTCTTTGTTCAGAAAAACACGAGGTAACCAGATTTCGACTGGAGGGTGTTTAAAAAGGATGAATTTGTCCCCATGTTTTGAGAAGGAATAATCAGGAAGAAAATAGTACAGACTGGGGCTAGTTGTCACACTTTTCCCTTTATTTTTGATAGTTATTGCTAAAGGAGGAACAGTAAAAAGATATATGTTAACCTTCAGTGACAACATGGCCCCAATTTGAGGAATATTGTTAGACTATATGAGGTAAGTTGTCACAATAAAGGCTTGAAAGAGCTACATTTAAAAATTAAAATTCAGGTTAGTGAACAAATTAGACACATACAGTAAGTTAAAGGAGTAGTTCACTTTAAAAAAACTTTTGCTGATAATTTACTCACCCCCATGTCATACAAGATGTCCACGTCTTTCTTTCTTCAGTCGAAAAGAAATTAAGGTTTTTGATGAAAACATTCCAGGATTTTCTCCATATAATGGACTTCAATGGGAACCAAACGGTTCAAGGCCAAAATGAGAGTTTCAGTGCAGTTTCAAAGAGCTTTAAACGACACCATATGATGAATAAGGGTCTTATCTAGTGATACGATCAGTCATTTAAAAATAATAATAAAAAAGTTTAAGTTTTATAAGCACAAATGCTCGCCTTGCTCTGTTCTGTGATGAGCGCTCGTGACTCTCCTGTTCGAACTTGTTCATCAAAATGAACAAATCTTTTTTCGAGTCATGACTCGAAGGGTCCTAGATAAGACCCTTATTCATCGTCTGGTGTCGTTTAAAGCACTTTGAAGGGGCACTGAAACTCTCATTTGGACCTTTAACCGTTTGGTTCCCAATGAAGTCCATTATATGGAGAAAATAAAAGTTTTTTTAAAAGTCACCATGAAACAGAAGCGGTGACAGTTTTTTCTTCCCTATTGTGATGTATATCCGGGTAAAAAGGCTAACAAGAAATAATGAAAGGTGGGATTTGATTTTGGATGGTCGTGGTTTGCTATTAGTGGATCTCATGTGAGTGACAGGTTGCCCCGCCCTCGCGCCGAAAAACATCAGAAAAGAGCGGCAGAGGGAAGTAATTTTATTAAAAATTCTGATGTCACGTGAATTAAAAAATGATGTGCATGGATAAATCATTTAAAATAAATAATGCAATTTCCATTGAGAAATAAGAACTGTTCACTTTATAAAGTTCATGGTAACTTTATAAAAATAGTATAAAAGTATACTAATGTAAAGTCATCACTCATTAAAAGGATGGTTTACCTAAATTTTGTCATCACAAATTTTGCACAAAAAAACAAAACAAAAACACCACCACTGCACCAAAAACACAGCTTTGGAATGACATGAGCAAATGATAACATAACTTTCACTTTTCTATCTATCATTTTAAAATACTCGAAGGAATGATAATTATGACATTTCATGCAAAGCTCCACAGAAATGATTTTCCCACCTTCAGATTAACATTTCCTCTCATAGGTTTGTTATTTAATGTCTAATCTAATTGTGGGTTCTTAAAGACAATACCATTACGAAACCTCATCTTTTAATTAGCCAATTACAGAAATGCTTAAGGT